CGTCCCTCTTTCCTCAACCTGCCCCAGCCCCTGGGATGTTGGCGGGGAAGCCAAACTGTGTTTTTTGCACTGCTCACTGCCATGTTATCCTTTGTTTTGCAGATTTCGTGGAAAACAGATATTCTGTAAGTACACATTTCATATGCATTATTTTTGAAAGTGCTCCATTGAACAGTGGAATATTTTCAGACTCACCCAGGTTCTGCATTCCCACCAATTCTCCTCCCCTCCTCCATGCTAACTTAGTCTGTGTTAGACCAGGGGTCTCAGGCTCCTCTGACGAGCCTGGGCCAGTTCAGATTTCAAATATTCTCTCCTGCTGTTTCCATCATTACATCTCAGCCCACATGTGAAGAGAGAGCCCAGAAATTCCCCCACAGAATCTGGAATCTAGGACATCTAGCTCCAAGTGAGCAAAAGACAAATTTCCTTTTAAGTTTAGGGTCTGGGCTCTGGAAGTGAGGCCGATTTGGGGGGTATGGTTGGAAGATCGGAGCACCCGACCGCTCATTTCAACTCAACAAGCCTATGCCAATCACCCCCTACGCTGGGCGCCAGGCTTCAGGGGATGCTCAAGGTCCTGGAGCCCAGGAGTTCATCCTCTATCTAATGAGGGAATCAGACACATGGTCACTTATCATAAAGCAGGGTGACGACAGCCACACTCGAGCCTACGGGACCACAGAAGACAGACCTGGCTAGTGGCCCCTTCACCAAGGAGGAGTCGTTTGGACAGGCCATGGAGAGTGAATCAAATTCCAGCAGCCTCGAGGTAGGACAGCAGGAGCAAAAGGATGAGGACTGATGGCAGTTTCAAGCAGCTTAGAACAGGAGGATAAGAGTGACAGCGAGGAGTGATAGCAGAAAGATAAGTCAGGCCTTAAATGTGAAAGACTCGAATGCCTCGCCTTTTTTAGAGGTTTCATTCTGCAGGAAATAGCGGATTTAGGAAGTAGCTATTTGGCAGATGGCAGGGTTTAAGAAAGATACAGAGGGCCAAGTTCAACCTTTGTGGAGACCCATCTCCCACTGTCTTCTTAACTCCCAACCTTTGTGTGAGCCACCCAGCAATGCAGGAGTTAACTGGGCGGCTAATGTCTTGAGAAATGAGGACTTTGCCTTGTAAATGCCTTCTTGAAAGTCTGGGAAGAACTTTCAGCAAGATTTCTGGTAGCCTTCCCGTGGGCCCCAGCCTCCTTTGTTTTGCCCACTGCTGAGTTCTTGTAAAACAGAGCTCATTATGCCTTTGACGGACAGGAAGCCACTGACATTCCTTTTATGGAGGAAAGCTGTCAATTTAAGGAAAAGAGAAATGAAATGCATGGTTTATTCCCACCCACTCAGACTCTTAAAATCAGAGAAGATCGCGTCAGAAGGGCAGGGAGCCCAATTTATAGAAAAGGACACTGAGGCCTAGATTGATAGACTAGCTTGCCTGGGATCACCCGGATGGCTAATACCGAGCGAGGAATAGAGCCCAGGTCTTCAGACTCCCTGGGTGGTCCTCTGTCCATGACACAAGAAGTACAGACACTGTCCCAGCAATATTGGCCTGGAGAGAGTAGAAAGTAAGAACTGTGCTTCGTGGGCAGCGTGGGACCCAGATAAAAACGTGTTCTCCTGAGACAATAAACACAGCTCTGTGCCCCGATGCAAGTCTGCAGCTGAGGGTGAGAAACGCTCTACGGGACCAACCTACTTTGTCTGCCATCCAAAGGGTCTGTCTGGACTAAGGCTCTGAGCTCCAGACCAGGCCAGACCAGACCTTTCTCTTTCCCTAGAAGCAGGCCCATGGGCCCAGGTCTGCTCCCAGGTACTCCTGAGAGCGCCCCATGGCTGCTCCTGCCCCCACCCCCCAAATAATAAAGCCCTTTGGCAGGAGCACAGGCGTTCCAGCCATTGGGAAAGGAATTTTGAATCTTGAAGCGAATGGATTTTGTTTGTAAAAGAGGCAGATATAGTTTCCCTAATGACCAGCTGGTGTGGGTTAGGAGCAAATTAATCGACTTGCCCAGCGGGGAAATGGGAGGGGATTTCCTTCCCGAAATCAAACCTGGCGATCGCTCCCAGTTGTTTAATGGCTGTTGCCTCTGAAAACATATTGGAGGAAATATCTTAACAATGAGATAGCCACTTAGCCAAATACTAATTTGGTATTGTTTGACTTGCTTCAATGGCACATTCTGACTTCATTTTTCCTCTGCCATTTTTACCTTGTTTATGAATTGTGTTTGTGGCCGACGCAGACAGATAACGCAAAAGAGAACACCCTGTCCTTAACCGAAAGGGGTGAATCTGGACCCACGAGAGTCTTGGGATCTTGGAGAGACCCCTGCCTTGTTACAGAGAAAAGACAATTGCCAGCTACAGCTGGCCTGCCCTGCTTTCCTGGGGGCCAGCACGAGGGGTCCTTCCCAGGGGTCAGGA